TAAAAAAGATTCCCAGGTGATTCTAATGTGCAGCCAAGGTTGAGAACCACTGTTCTAGATGAAACCATCTAACCACTGTCTCTACTCAAGCACCCAGAGGTCCTAGCACAGCTGTATTAGATAGAACTCTGCTGATTGGTTTCATTATAAATTTATGAGCTTCATTCTCAGCTCGGCTCTCATCATTGGCACAGTGTTACTTATCTTTTGCCAGCTTCCTTTCTCATTTCTGATATCAGATATTCCTGATAGCAGAGTTTTTCCCTCTCTTAATACTCTCTATCAAGATCCTGCCTCTCTCACTCTCAGCTGATAACTCAACCTCTAATTTAACAAAGAAAATAGTAGTCACAGTAGTGAACAACCTTAGCACTCCTTCTTTCCACCTTATCATTAAATATCTATTCTCTTCCTTTATATCTTTAATTTCTCTTTATGGCGAGATCCTCTTCTACTCTCTATAAATGTGCTCAAGCATCTGCCTACTAAACCTGCTTAGAATTGTCTATTTTCTGTCTCCTTTCTTTCACTGACATGTATCTTAAAACAGCAGTTCTCAACCTGTGGGTCGTGACCCTTTGGGGGTCGAACGACCCTTTCACTGGGGTCGCCTAAGACCATCGGAAAACACATCTATAATTACATACTGTTTTTGTGATTAATCACTATGCTTTAATTATGTTTAATTTGTAACAATGAAATTGGGGGTTACCACAACATGAGAAACTGTATTAAAGGGTCGCAGCATTAGGAATGTTGAGAACCACTGTTTTAAAAGAATTCTCTACACTTGCAGCCTCCACCTCCATTTTTCCACGTAGTCCTTCTGAATTTCGATTTAACTTCCATTGCTATCACTCTACAGCTGTGCTTTCCAAATTTTCTATGCTGTGGCAACGAGAGAAAATTATTATATTTATTTGGCACCCTGTGGACAGCAATCAAGGTCACTCTCTAACCCCTCCTGACATGTCAGGAATTTCAGCCAGGCGGGCCTCAGAGCTGGAGTTGAAACAGAGCTGCAACCCCTCCTTAAGGGGCTTATTCTTCAGCTCACCTGCAATCACTCATGGCTCACCAGGTGGGAAGCTCTGCTCCACCAAAACTGCTCTGGCTAAGGACACCAGTGACCTCAATGACAAATGCAGTGTTTACTTCTCTGTCCTCATCCGTTCTATAGCAGAGTTTATTGATCATGGGGCTTCTTTATTTAAAATAATCACAGTTTGTTCAAGGTAATGTGCCATTCGGCAGCCAGGAAGTAGGTGGAGTAAGAAAAGCAGGCTACTTTCCTTTCACTGTCTGCTTTATGAAGGCCCAGTTGTTTAAGGAAACTCTGCCATCAATAGGCAATGCTTGGGATCCATGGTGAGATGAGGTGGCCAGAGAAGGTCATTTGCTACATGCAAAGGGCCCCAGAGTCTTAACTGACTAAGCAGTTGGTAAATTGTAATTCTCAAGAATCATTTTGTGTATTTATCCCCTACAATGTTTTCATTGATTAATTCTAAATAAGATCCTAGGCTTGGATCATCTGCATTTTTCTGAGGAGAGGCCATTTAGAGAGTGTTTGCATTACAAACCTTAGGGTGGTTTTTGTCCTGTGTGTGGTTTAACTTGGGACTGTCCAGGGCAAACCTCATAACTGCTTCCCTTCCCTTCATGTTGGCTTCTCTTTTTCTCCTAGTGGGCACTTACTAAAAGGTGAGGTTTGGCCTGACAAAAAGAGCATTTTTTCCCACCAAAATAAGAGGGAATGATTGTTAACAACATGGCTACATTTACGCTGTGTAGTAGTTTGGAGGGGGTTTGAGAGAGTGACTGGTTAAGCTAAGTTTTGAGGTCACCGGTCTCTTCAATTTGCCTTTTTATCATTATTTCCAACCGAGCTGCAGTTGCTGGAGTTCACTGCCTTAGAAATACCTCTTCATAAACCCACCTGTAATGGACTCCCAAAACTCCGGGGATGGGATGGTTATTCTCCATTTGCCATTCTAGGTCCATTCTGACCCTACTCAGCCCTGTTCTGTAGGACACTGAATCGTTACCTCCGCTATCATCTGGGCTTCCTTCCCCATCAGCTTTGAGTTAGGGTCAGTCGTCAGCAGGAAATCTGAGGGCAGGAGGAGAGAGGCCAGAATCATTGTTCTTCTCACTCTCTCCCCTCTTGCTGCATTCCTCCACCTAAGACCAGGGCTCCTTTCTGGCAGCCTCTTTTCCACAGTGCTAGCTCCCATCTGGCCCTGGAAACATCTTTCTTTTTTCCCTTCCCCCTTTAGGCCTAGAGGTAGAAATGACTTCCCAGTACCCCTGGGTGCCATCTTTCTTTTTTCCCTTCCCCCTTTAGGCCTAGAGATAGAAATGACTTCTCAGTACCCCTGGGTGCTTCCCCATTCTTGTGTGTGTGTGTGTGTGTGTGTGTGTGTGTGTGTGTGTGTGTGTTATTTGATAGTTATCCCATCATTGTATGCTATTCACCATTCTTGTTGTATCTTTGTACTAGCCTCTCTGTAGACTCTTTATAAATAGTCCCTTCATTAAACTTTTTTTAGTTAAACTCTGAGGGAGCATCCTTCTAGTTGTAGATGGCATGCTGTTCAATTCATGAATCGCTTAAGAAAACCAATTAGATCTTAAAAACAACAACAAAACACACACACACACACACACACACACACACACACACACACCCTGGATTTGCCATCTTTTTCTTGCTACAACCTTATCTATATGAGTAAATGAATAGCCATATGCTTATGGTCCAGCATTTTGGTAAAAAGAATGACTATTATTATTCTACTAGTGGCCCATTGCACAAAGATTCACGCAATAGACCTTCCTTCCCCTGGCTGCTGGAACCGGTTTTCCTCTGGCACCCAGGACCCAGGCCTTTGGTCTGGCCACAGCAGCGAGGCTTGGCTTCTCCGCTCCAGCTACTCCCAGCCCCTCCTTTTTTTTCCAGCTCCTTGAGCGGAGCCCAGGCCCCCAGCCCCTCCTTGAGTGGAGTCCAGGGCTGGTGGAAAGCTTGGCTTCCTCTGTCGCCGGGAGCAACCCAAGCCTCCTGCTTGCTCCAGCTCCATGGCCGCTGCCATCTTCAGTCTTCGCTCCACGCCTGCATATGCAAATTAACCACCATCTTTGTTGGGTTAATTTGCATAGTCGCTCTGATTGGCTGGTGGGTGTAGTGGAGTGGTGGAGTGATGGAGTGATGGTTAATTTGCATGTTTCTATTTTATTAGTGTAGATGTTTTCCTCTTAACTTGTTCCATTTATTTAGTGATCTACAACTTACATTATCTAGCATGTTTCAAAGGGTGTTATCTTAGGGATGAAGGGGCAGTGGGAAGAAGCCAGCCTGTTGACACTGATAGACACAATTAAAGTGGCTTCTAAGCAGATTGGCATGTTGTCCATTAGTTGGATTAAAAACCTTTGTAAATAAATGTAAAATAAGTACATTATGTTTTAAGTTAATTCTAGGCAAAATATAATCACATTATAAGAGTGTAATTATAATGGAGTGATGGTTAATTTGCATGTTTCTATTTTATTAGTGTAGATGTTTAACTTGTTCCATTTATTTAGTGATCTACAACTTACATTATCTAGCATGTTTCAAAGGGTGTTATCCTAGGGATGAAGGGGCAGTGGGAAGAAGCCAGCCTGTTGACACTGATAGACACAAAGTGGCTTCTAAGCAGATTGGCATATTGTCCATTAGTTGGATTGAAAACCTTTGTAAATAAATGTAAAATAAAAACATTATGTTTTAAGTTAATTCTAGGCAAAATATGATCACATTATAAGAGTGTAATTATAATGCCTTTATTATATTTTTCGACTGTACTAAGAATACTTTGAAGTCAGGGCTATAAGCTGCATCTTTGTCTCCCTTATAAAATTCAGCACAAAGTAGGTAGCACTTGAGAAAGTTTAAGGGATAGATGGACTCAATATGGCTGAAAAGTACAATTAATCAAATTCATTTAGCACCACATTGATCAGTGGAGAAACCTAGAATGTATACAATAAACATAAGATAAATTCTTTCCTTCAACTGTAATTAGAAGAAAAGTAAATATAACAAATGAAACCATGCCAGAGGAAGAGATGGTTAAAAGGAAAAGATTAATCCTATATAATAAAAACCTAATATGCTAAGTGTCCATTCAACCAATCAAAGTGTAATATGCTAATGATATGCTAAGGCTACTCAACCACTCACTATGACAGACACTGATCACCAGGGGGCAGACAGTCAACTGGTCAACCAGTCTCTAAGATATACACTGACCACCAAGGGGCAGATGCTCTGACAAGTAGGTTAGTTTGCTGCTGGGGTCGGGGCAATTGGGACTGAGCGAGATGGGCCAGACATCCCAGGAGCCCTCCTGTAGCCTTTCCCCAGCTGACTAACATCCCGCATCCCTCCCTGGCCCCAACTGTGGGTGGGAGGTAATCAGCCAAGTAGCCTTTCCCCAGCTGACTAACATCCCGCATCCCTCTCCAGCCCCGATTGTGGGTGGGAGGTAATCAGCCAAAGACCATCATATATAATCATATATAATAAAGAGGTAATATGCAAATTGACCATCACAATCTCACACAAGATGGCCGCCCCCATGTGGTCAAAGATGGCGCCTCCATGGTGGTCACAAGATGGCCATCACAGATGGCCAGCAAGGGAGGGCAGTTAGGGGTGACCAGGCCAGCAGGGGAGGGGAGTTGTGGGTGACCAGGCCTGCAGGGGAGGGAGGGCAGTTGGGGGGAACCAGGCCTGCAGGGGAGGGCAGCTGGGGGGGACCGGGCCAGCAGGAAAGGGCAGCTGGGGGCGACTGGGCCGGCAGGGGAGGGCAGTTGGGGGCAATTGGACCGGCAGGGGAGCAGGT